AATCAGCAGTGCAGGAAGCATCCTGAGCCAAGAAAGCAACACTTGGCGCCCAATGGGAGGCGTAGCCGTTCGGATGATCTTGTTGCTTTGAAAGGCCAAGTAGGCTTCATATCCACACCACAACCTCGTGTAGACACTTTTATGCCGGTTGGGCACCACCAGCATGTATTTGGAACTCTGCAAAGCAAGGGCAAAAGGAGATGATGACGGGGACTGAAGCAAAGCACCAATATCAAGATTCTGTGGATTGGCCAGCATGCAGCACCAAGCATGACGTGCACGCCAAGGCCAGGATGTCAACACCTTCTTGGTAAACTCAAACACACCTTCCTGCCACGCATGTGTGATAAACAAGTCGCAGTCAAGTCCTTCAGGATTCATCATCAACGCCCAGCTCATTTTGCCAGCAGCAGCCGTCACTGGCTTGATGTAGTGTTCGTTCACTGCATAGATGCTTGGCCCATTCTCCGAAAAGCTCTCCTGAAAGGTTTGGCCCTCTTGGATGGCTCTATGGATATCAGATTGGAAGAACTTGAGATCAGCGAAGGTGATGCACCACCTTGCTGGGTTCACAGTTTCATGCAGTTCAACAGCTCGATGGGTCGGAAGGCGCTTCCTCGTCCGATAGGGAGCCAAGCTCTCCGAGCGTCGAAATGAGGTCAGCATCCGCAAGGAGTTACCCGCCAAAAACAGAGATAGAAACCGCCCCAACGCTGTTTGGAATGGAAGTTGTTCTCGTATACTGAGGGTGGTCTGTGAATTTCTATACTTTGTTTTTTGTAGTATCAATCCATATGAGACTGTTCATACTTCTTCGAATGGCTTGAGCCACCGAAAAAACCGGCCAGACCAGCGGAGGACTTTTCGCGCTGGCAGTCCAGTCCGGAAGCGTCCAATTCTGTTGGTTGCGCTGCATCGTCCAATGCCAGGTCCGGTCCGTCCGGACTGGGGTCATTGCTGCCGCCCCTCACGACCTCTTCGGACAGGCCGAAGAGTCCGAGTCCCTTGGACGACAGCCTCGGACGACTTCAGCTGTTGGGGACGGGAAATCCCTGGGCTTCCAACAAGCAGCTGAGAACGCATGGTGTTCACCGAAGAACCATTTCTTGTTCGGAATTTACACGACAAACAACAGGTCAACCTTTTGTCCGTTAAAGGTCTTGGAAGACTAGGGACATGTGACACCCGGGAAAATCAACATGGAACCTGAAAATGAATCTTTGGAAGACGATTTTCCTCTACAACCCAGTTCAGGTTCTATGTGGGTTTCTTCCGTGTCCGATCAGGGCTCCCCGGTCCCCTAAAAATGGGACATGACCCATCCCATATAGAGTCCAGGTACCTCTTGAGGATGGTCTTGGAGGTGAAAGTACTGCCTGAGAATGGTCGAACTGGGCCAAAGGACATCCTCATGATGGTCATGGACCCTGTACAACTTTACCCATTTTCCGAGGTGGCTCAAAGCTATAATTACTGGTCCAGAGTCCAGAGTCCGCTCTTCTCCTTTTTTAGGTCAATGAACATCAAGCACTGCCAGAACGGACCCAGTACCTGTAACTAAGGAGTGACCGCCTTTCAACAGCAAAACCTTGGACGATTTGCGTTGTCCTCAGGTCAAGATGTCCTCAACTGCCGGTCCCTCAGCAGGCAGGTCATGAACGGGTCCCCTCCCCTCGGCAGAAGCAGCCGCTGCTAAACCGGACAGTCTGCTGCGATTCTGCGCAGCTATAGCGAATGATTCACCTGCTTCCAGACATGAACCCCGCCGAACTCATCAGCAAAGGAATCAAAACAGGAACACAGGAATAGAACAGTTAACAACATGACACCCACCATTGCGAAAAAAGAAATGCACGGCAATACACCAGATCTCCCGTGATCTCCGGCATTTCTGCAGGACTCAACATCTCTCCATCCATGATAGAACACTATCGCACCCAAAACATGAAATCTTAACCAGAAGTGTATACACTGGTGCACTTGTTCATTCATTGCAGGGTTCCCAGCATTGCTGGGTTATCCAATACGGCAAGGCGAAGGGGGTAACACCTTTCATGCGCCCAAGTTCTGAAAGAATCGAGACTCCCCGCCTTTGCGGAACCGCAAAGGCACTCTTTCCACACCTGCGAGGCTTTGATGCTCGACCCAGCGTGGCTCCACGTCCCGACCAGCGGCGACGATTCGCCAGCAAACTGGACGATTCGCGCTGGGCCGGCCGAAATCGGCCAGGGAAAAGCTGGCCACCCGAAGGTCGCCCGGGTCGCCCGAACTCTTGTCCGAAAAAGTGTGTTGCAAGTTGCAACCTGTGTCTTTCCACCAAGAGTTACGACTTGCCTTCACCAGAAACTTGAGCACGCCATGCCACATGACATCATGCCACATCAGCTGTGAGTAGAACTTTCCGATGATGCATCTGACATCACCTCGCTGCTGGATGACTCTTCCAAACATTCCGCCGAGACGAGCTCACTCATGGATCTCCGAGACAACGGCCATTCAACGGGACCCACGACCCGTGACAAGAAGAATTGAGCCAAGAGCCTTCCACCAGGTAACCTGCGGAAATGGGACACGTAGGCATGGGAGACCAATAACGTTTGGGAACACCTGGAACACGTATCCCCTTGAAAATTACGAGGGGGTCGTTCGTTTCGGTGAAGGTGGTCATACCTGACCGGAGGTAGGACTGGAGGCCAAACGGGGTGATGAATTTTTTGGACAACTTGTTTGGATGTTTCTTGGCAAAGCGTGAAACATGAGGTTGTTTACAATGTCTTGGGCACGAGCAACTTCAATGTCCCACGGATGCCCAAGGCAGCAAAGAAAAGCACCAGAAAGAACGAGACGTGGAACAAAGTCACCAAAGAAAAAAACATAGCTTCATTCCCCAAAGGTCCCAGCTCCACCAGGCAAAAATAGAAGACCGTCACAATCTTGGCCATCACGTTCAGCATGAAGCACCGTTCATCAATGGAGCGTCTAAAAAGCAAACACAAGAAGGCAAGCCTAGCAAGGATTGATGCGGTTTCCATGGATGCCATAAAGTTATAGATTCCTGCAATTGGATGACCTAGTTCATGAAGCAAATAGACATATCGCCACACAAGCCAACAACCTAGCATCAACAAAGGCCCAAGCACAAGCACAGGGATGGCTAATTGAACGAATCCGGCATGCCGAAGTTCGACTCCCTGCAAATGTGCATCTCGAAGTGCATCCGATGTCATGCCAGCCTTCAACAAAACTTGGATCACTTTGTCCACTTCATCAACCTGATCACCAATCTCATCCCGAATGTTCACCTCATCCTGAATTTCGGAGCATGATGCATGACGAATGGAACCTTCATACTGATGTCGTAATTCTTCCCCCTCTTGTCTTTCTGCCTGGCAGTTCATTCGGTCAACTTCAGCAAGTAAGAAATAAAGGACAATGCAAGCACGATTTCCATACTTCATAAAGGCCATCAAGGCAATCCTCCCAACAAACAGGTACCGGAAGCCACTCACAAGTAACTCACCTCCGATGATAGCGGCCACAGTACTGCCCAAACCCACGTGGTTGACAATCAACCACAGCCGCATCTGTCCACAGTTTTGACTCATAAGGCTCGCAAAAAGCGCAGTCATTCCTCACTTGCTTGCCTTAACCCGGAAACAGCTTTTCGTTTGGACACCGCATAATTAATGGTATTGACAAAGGGAAGCAAAGCTCATTACGTCTTTAAGTGTATACATACTAAAAAGGTGCAAGCATGAGAGATACTACTTTGTGGCCAAGATTCGAAGGATCAGAATTAATCTTTGGGCAGCTTCAAAGTGCCTCAGTCTGAAGATCAAACCAACAGTGGCACCAATCAGCAGTGCAGGAAGCATCCTGAGCCAAGCCAATAACACTTGGCGCCCAATGGGAGGCGTAGCCGTTCGGATGATCTTGTTGCTTTGAAAGGCCAAATAGGCTTCATATCCACACCACAACCTCGTGTAGACACTTTTATGCCGGTTGGGCACCACCAACATGTATTTGGAACTCTGCAAAGCCAGCGCAAAGGGAGATGATGATGGAGACTGAAGCAAAGCACCAATATCCAGATTCTGTGGATTTGCCAGCATGCAGCACCAAGCATGATTTGCACGCCAAGGCCAGGATGTCAGCACCTTCTCAGTGAACTCAAACACATCTTCCTGCCAAGCGTGAGTGATGAACAAGTCGCAGTCAAGTCCGTCAGGATTCATCATCAACGCCCAACTCATTTTGCCAGCATCAGCCGTCACCGGCTTGATGTAGTGTTCGTTCACTGCGTAGATGCTTGGCCCATAGGAAGGCTCGAAGTTCTCCTGAAAGGTCTGGCCCTCTTGGATAGCTCTGCGGACCTCAGATTGGAAGAACTTGAGATCAGCGAAGGTGATGCACCACCTCGCTGGGTGCACCGTTTCATGCAGTTCAATGGCTCGATCCGTTGGCAGTCGCTGCGTCCCTCTCCTCCGGTCGAACGGCACGGTCAACATCTGATCATCACAGCTGTGTGGGGCACTTTTCAGAATCTCCAGTTTGGGGGTGGTCTGTCAAGTTGTATATGACATATAATATATTGTTATTTTGTTTGGTCAAAATCTATATGTATGTCTATATTGTGTTGTCTTGTTTGATTTTTGTTTGATCTTTATTGAAGGGTCATTAATTACTGTCATTGGATCTGGAGCCACTTGGCCACTTGTTGGAATAGCTTAAGCGAAGAACAACATGGGTCTCACTTGGATTTCACTTCTTTGGTCTACTCAGGGAGTCTTGTGTTCCAAGTAAATAATATATATATATATATTCAAAAAAACTAGAACTTGTTTGGCGAGTGAAAAACACTCAAACCCAAAGGCCTGCTGCAAAAAGAAACAACTTTTTATAACCAATCCCTTGGCAACCAATCCGATAGTCGAAAGTGCGAGCCCTTTTTTCGTCGTCCAAGCCAATCAATACAATCATACTAGGAAATCCAACGTCTAAAGGTCTAGATTCTCCAGTCTTTCAGGATGCCAAAACCACAGGGTCCATGTTAGTTAGTTTTCGAGAGTGTACCTGGTTCTTCAAAGTGACCGTACTTGATCACCTGGTTGGTTTCGGTCACTTAAGCCTCCGAGTACGGGTGACTGGATGGAACCTTCAAAAGATCACGAACTGAAGAAGCTGGAAATATGCTTATATATACATGATGATATATGCAGTGTGTATATAACTTAAACATCTACACCCCAAAGTCTACATAATACCGTAGTTGGATATATAATGTAACATATATGTACATCCCAGAGGCGACCCTGGACCCGAACCAACTGCTACATCTTGGTTCAGTCCCGTTCACCCTGGCTGTGAGGATCAAAACCACCGCGAACTGAGGGTCCGAACTCTGAGCCTCTGGGATATATCATTTAAACCTCTTCTGTTTTTCCTCCAAAACTTCCCATGTCATGCAGGCCAGGCCGCAGTGGGAGATCCCGCTCAACGACCGGTGCGAGTCGAACAAGTCCGACGACTCACGATGATGGTGGATGTATTCTTTCTTGGAGGGGGAGTGCCGGGCGAGGTTGACGTGTCCTATGTCACTGGGCACTACTCGTCTGACCATGTCTCCCAGCTGGTTGGCATCTGCATCCACAGAACCCAAAACCCACTCCACTATCTAAACAGTCTAAACAAAATAGTTAATATATGTTAATATGAAACATCTATTTAGAAAAAACAACCCAAACACTAATTATCTAGGAACGGTGGAGGCCATCGCTACTAGGGTGAAGGCCATTGCATACTGTAGGTTCAAGGCCATTGCCTAGGCTCCACCTTCTCCCGTCCCACTCTCACCCGTCTCAGCACCCGGCCGTTGAACGCCGAACGAGCGGGTGCCGCTGAGCGAGTCGAAGGAGTCCGCCTGTGCGGCGTTGCTCGTGGCGGGAGGGTGCCGGGACAGCTGTCCAATGGCATCGTCTGGGCGTGCGTGGTATTCATATGTTATATTAACATGTAATATGTATCGATGAGTAACGCACGGTCCAACAATGCATATACTTTTATGTGATTTTAAGGGGGGGACACTGAAGGACGAAAGGAATACGGAGGGTCATGACCAGGTCTTGGAAAAGGATTCGGACCACTGGACAACGCTCCCTCAGAACTCACGACTGCTCGACATGCGGAACCACCATGCTCCTAAAAATAGTGACCGGAACAGAAGGAGTTACACTCTAAGGAACACATCACATGGTCAAGTGGCTGGCATGGCCCCTTGGAAGACTATGTTCCTTTGAAGAACAGTGGGTGCCATCCACTTCCATAAGATGTCTTCGTGGGAGCATGACTGGGGGTTAGATTAGATTGATCCCCATTCACCTGAATCACTGTGAATGGACGTGTTTCTCTTCATACTGGATGTGACTTATTAGACCTGCAACCATCTGCAACCGACTTCAAGCACCTGGGAGGTCATGGGACATGACCTCGTCCCATTTTCCGAGATACATTGAGACTCCAGGTAATTAGCATATAACTGTATAGTAATCATGTTGTGAATATATATATATATATGTTTGGCATATATATATATATTATACATAAATTCTGGTCCTGACCCTCCTCTTCCCCAAATTCGAGTGGTTCAGTGTAATTGAGTGGACACCAAAGCAACACCATCATCATCCTCAAAAAGAGGGTAGAGACAATAGGTCAACCAAAGCCGCCCTACCGATCCGTGGATTCTGGGCTCCAAGTCTGAGCCTAGATCTTCCAAGACCATTAAAAACTGGTTGACCTGTTACTGTAGTGGAAGATCCTTAATAAAACGGCTTCTTCGGGCTCTTTAGAGCCCATCCAATGGATGGTCCAGGAATCGGAGAAGCGTCCACGGAGCTTCACTGGACTGGACTTGCTACTCTGGGTCCCGAGTCCCGGCTTCTTTTTTCGACGTCAAACGGTGAAGGCCGAGCCGTCCCGCCCGTCGGGCGGGGATGCCGGACGCCGGGAGCGCCGGGACGCTTGGGTTCCGAAAGGAGGGGCCGGTTTCGGGAGCCTTTGGTTCGAGGTGAGTGTTTCGAAGGTTCTTCTTCTTCGGTGAGTGTGGACGGAAAGCTGGACCGGACGACGGAGGGCTGGACTAGAAGTAACCTAAAGCATTCGGAGCAACCCAAAGGCGTTTGGAATCAATGATCTGCGCGGAAGATGGAAGGTGACAGAAATCTATAACTGTTTGATTCGAACAGTCATTATTGCTTTAATGGTCATTTACCAAGCAACAATTGTTTTACTATGGGTTTTAAACTTTAAAGCCAAATCAACCAGTTTAACAATGGTCTTTGACTTCCGGGGATAGTGTAGCGCGTGAGACCAGGCGTATGGGAGGATCAACGCTAAATTGTTGATGCTTTGGCCTATGCACGAATGCATGAAATGCCTTTTTCAGCCGCTATCGCTCGAAGAGTTATCCTCATCATCGCATGAGCGAGTGGCAGAACAAAGCGCCCTGCAATCCACCACCCTTCGCAGAAAGAGATCTGCCAGCAGCTTGCCAAAAGGTAGTTTCAATGTCCCGCGAATGCCTTGGAGGAAAAGTGACCCCAAGAATCAAAAGACTTGACCCCAAGAATCATCCTAGGGCTCCAACCACATCTGAAGGTGGTTGGGGTGGGTTTAGAGGGTCCAGTCATACCTTCTGAGGATATGGTTGGAGCGGGGGAAACCTTTGTCAAACCTGGTGACCAACATGGACCTAGCAGGGCGATGCCTTGCCATGGGAGGGCGATGCCTTGTAAATTTGGCTTGGAAGGTCAAGCATGAACACATGATTACACTATTGAAGAAACAAGGACATGAACAAGTCCTTTGTAAAAACATTAGCATCTGCCCGCGTGCCCCAACCAAAGAAACAACATGCATGGCTGTCTTGCTGTCAGAGTGCCCAGCACAGCAAAGAACCAAACGACCAGAAAAGAGATGTGGTACAGAAAACGCAATGGCATTGCATAACTTTGTAGAAATTCCAGCTCCACAAAGCAGAAGAAGCTCGGGGCGACTGCCTTTGTCATCACGTTGAGCATGAAACAGCGTTCATCAATGGGCCGCATGAAAAGCAAAACCAAGAAGCAAAGTCTAGCACAGAGTGAGACGGCTCGTAAGGTAGCAAAGACCCAGTTAAGTTCGATCATTCGACCGTTGATGATATCTTCAGCCAAGCGCACACAAGCCAATAATAACTCAGGCCCAAGCACAAGTACTGGAATTGCCAACTGAACAACCCCAGCGTGTTGAAGCTCCACACCCTGCAGATTTGCATCTCGAAGAGCATCTGAAGTCATACCTGCCTTCAACAGAACTTGAATGACATCGTCAACTTCATCAACCTGATCGCCAATCTCGGTCCGAATGTTCGCCTCGTCCTGGACTTCGGAACATGATGCCTGACGAATAGACCCCTGGTATTGGTTGTGTAGCTGCTCTGCCTCGTGCTCTGCTACTTGCCAAGTCAGCCTGTCGATCTCAGCAATTAGGAAGTAAGCAACCAGCATACTGTTCATCAAACACTGCCTCTCAACAAAGATGAGAATTTTGGGCGGGAATTCTACAAGTGTGGCTGTTCGCATAAATCGAC